ACTCGCTGAATTTACATAACAGAGAAATCAAATTAAATTAGGAACAATTACTAATAATTTTATTTGTTAAAAATGCATTGTAATTCAGTACGAATGAAGAACGTAAATTGTCTTGTAAGCAAAGTGTATCGTAATCACGCGGAGAGATTACAATCAATCATTTATCGGGAATTAATCGTTTTACACTTGAACTGATTCGTTGAGCGAAAAATAAATCGCCATTAATGATGATGATGACAAAATGTCAATGATGTTTTTACTGTGTTATCATTAGGTAATTTCAGCTTTTTTCATATCATAATACAAATAGTATATACAATAGATTTCCTTAAACAGATGCGTCATTCTAATCGTTTATGTTACACTCGTTGGCTAAAATTATAGAATGATTAAAACTATTTCCGTAGTTCCCAATTATGAAAAATTGTCATCATAGTTCTTCGTACTTCTGTTTGTATCATTAATAGTCTCATTCATTTCATAGTGCTAATGTCGTTGTTGTGCCATTTGAATAGTTTGGTATTGGGTGATTAGTCCATCGTGGAAGTGTTTGAACGTATTTATAAAATGCGGTTCCCGGGCAGAGAGTACTTCTAGCTTGTCGATGGCCCAAAATGTGATAATCCCCGCGTATTTTTCGAAGCTTCACACCGTATTTAATCAAATCGTTCAGTGTCTTTAAAGCTTTCTCGTTAGGAACGAAATCTGTAAAAATATATGAATGTGTATGATGTATATGAATGAATGTACATGATATAATAATTGAAATTAATAATCGTAATATATATAATTTCTCTAACTCAATGGCTTCTCAAATTTTTATATTTACTTAGCAAATCTCATTTAAAATGTTTAAAAAGTTATTCCGTTTTAAAAGGTGTCGGGATATTTTTGTGATCCACAATGATTTTCACAATGAGTACGTTCACTCACACTTTTAAAATTGATTGAACTATAAAACACTTACTACTAAAATCACCAATAATACATATTCCAATGCTCTGAGTGTTATAACCAGGTGCATGTGCTCCGACATAATCCCAGCCTCGACCCTCGTAAACGTTTCCGTCCTCGCCAATAACAAAACTATATCCGATATCGAACCAGTGTCGATCGTCGATATGGAAATTTTGATATTGCCTTACGATGGCGGAACACGTTTTTTCATCGTAACAATATTTAGGCTCTCCTCCGTGATGAATTACCACGTAAGGTGTTGGCGTTACTTCCAGCAGTTCTCGTTCTACTGGTTGCCTAGCATGCCAGTTTTGTCTACTGATGATGTTTGGAACTACTGCGCATAATTAAAATTTTACTATTCAGATTTCTATAAATAGAACTAACATAAACAGCTGAGAACAAACGCACTCTTGGGCAGAAT